GTGGTCGTTAATCTTATCTATAGGTACGGGGTAGGTGAAGTAAACATCTTCAAAGAACATTCTTTCTCGGGGATATCTGGTTTTCAGCGAGGGGAGGGGAGGCCGATGTGAGGGAGACCCATGAGAGGTGAGTTCTGAGAACCAAGAAGGCCGGATTCAAAATGGAGTTCCTTGTGCCAAGACCAGGCACCACCAATGCCCTTGGACACAGCAGTTACTAAGTCACTATGGAGATTTACTGCACTGGGCAACAAGTCTGCTACACAAACCCTCCTGCCCCCAGCCCCTCAAGCTGTGCTGCGTTCGGTCACCTGTGCATGTGAGGCGGGCAATGAGGAAGCCTGGAGAAGGAATTTCGGATTACGGTGTTGGTGCAGAATATGGGCTAAGACTGCCAGAACCAATCTGTCTGTGTTGGAAGAAGTCGAGACAGAATGTTCTCTGGAAGCGAGGGTGGGAAGTGGACAGTGTTCTCATCAGAACTCCCTGGAGGAGAGCAGGGGTGGTCAAACAGATTAGGGGAAAGAGGCAGACCCCGAAGGAAACAAAATGGCGCAGTGGCTGCAGCAACAGGCTCAAAACTAACAGGCCCGACTGGGAGGATGTCTTCGGAAACCACCCATCCAACAGGGCTCCAATAACTCAAATTCAACTCGAGCAGGACATCCAGATGGCCGCCAAACACATGCAAAGATGCTCAGTCTCATTAGCCACCGGAGATGCAAACCACCGGTCCAGTGAGATGCCTGCTGGGGTGGCCGAGGTCAAACAAACAACAAATGTTGGGATACTGGAGTCCTGATCTCATCACTGCTGGTGGGAATGCAGTGACAGAGCGGCTGTGGAAGTGTGGCCGCTCCTTTAAAAAAAAAAAAAGATCACTCCAGTAGCTGGTCTTTTCAGTGGTGTCCCTCGGCTCACAACAGTGTTTCATCCACTCCTTTTCCGTCGTTTTGCTGTTTGTGCTGTTAGGCAATCCGCTGTGGAAAGCTTGTTCCGCCAAGAATTTTATGGTGGGAGTTCGCGCAGCTCAGCCCTAAATCTACTTTGCATTTGTTTCTTCGTGTACGGTGTGAGGCAGGGGTCCCTTTCAATCGCCTGCCTGTGGAAATTCATTTTCCCCAGCACCGTTTCTGGAAAAGATTCCTCTTTTCCCCTTCTTGGCGCCCTTGGTCACACTCGTGCTGGTGGCTGTCTTTGTTGTGTGCATTCTCAAAACGACAAACTGAAGGAGCGGGAAAGACGAAATCCAGGGCTGATATCTGGCTGACCCCCCAGGGGACGGCTGACCACCGGCCTCCATCGATGTAGCAGAATGGCTGCCAAGGCGCCCGTCATCACATCAAATGCCAGAAGAGGGGTGATCCCGTTTATGAAGGAGCCTTCCAGAAGTCCCATACAACACTTCCCTTTGGCTATCATTGACCTCAGTTGAGCTGTGAGAGGCTGGGGATTGTTTCCTGGGCCGCTAAGAGGGTTTCCTCCCCAAGGAGGGTGGGGAGGAGGTTAGGGAGAGCCAGTGACAGCAGACACAGTCACCCGGGAGACCAGGATGGGTCCCTACGCAAGCCGCATACACAGCATGGAGCAGCCGCGGATCCCCAGAGGGCAAGCTGGTGAGGCTGCTGGCCGGACCGGCTGTGACGGTGTCTGCTGTCCTTTGAGGCTAAGGCTGGACAGACTGCCTTGAACCCTGCCTGCCCGAAGTCACTCCTGAGCACTCTAGAAGCTAACTGCCCCTCCCAGGCTCTGGTTCCCGGCACCCCCAACTCTCGTGTGTTAAGTGGTCCTGGCAACAAAGCTGCCCCTCCCTCCTTGGTGAAGCAGGTATCTTCCAGGGTCCAGGATCCTCTGCTTTGAGCTCCCGCAGTTGTGGTGGGGCAGGGGCCTCCTATCTCTGGTGCTGGTGCACAGTGAGCCCTGACAACAGTCCCTGCGAGAGCCTAGGCAAGTGAGCTCCCTCGGCTCCCCGGCCACTCTAAGAGCCAAGGAGGGCTGGCGGAAGGAAGGAGCACGGTAAAACCCATGTATGTGTCGACATGTAATTTCCCCTGAGTCCACCCAAGTCCACCCCAGCTGACCCCCAGCATATCCGGATCCGTGGCTACCACTTGGTGTCCACCAGGCTCCAGAGGTGGTCACTGATGAACTTCTTGGAGAGCTGGGTGCTGTCCAGGTGGATGGGCTGGGCGACACTGGGGCCGTGGTGGACTGAGGTGGGGGATGTAAGGAAAAGCACCCAGCTCCTGCCCGCACAACCCTCCTGCCAGCTCCTCCTCCCGCCTGGGAAGGATACTGCCTTTGATCACCTCCGGCTCACACTCGTAGTCCCACTCGATCTTACTGATGCGATGATAGAGCTGCGCCACGTACCTGCCCCAGGAGACGAGAGGGAACGTTACTCCAGGAGGCACGCCAGCAGAGAGCTGGAGACAGCAGCCCCACGCTGCCAGACACCCTCGCACCGCGGGGGGGACCTACACAGCCGAAGGGATGGTGACCGTTGTGTCTTCTTCCACTTCCCCCTCTTGTCGCTGGAGCTCAGCCTCCAGCTCCTTGAGCTCCTGCAACTCCCGGGTGAGCTGAGTAGGACAGCTGGTTAAGGGTCACTTGCCTGGAGGGCTGCCCGCACCCTCTGGCTCCCGGCTTAGCTCCCAATGCAAAGGAGGCTGCAGGCGCCCTGCTGCCCGCACACAGAAAAGGATATAGGAGGCTGGCCTTCAGGCAGGTGTCCTCCTTGCTGGCCTGGTCCAGCTCGGCCTCCAGCCCCTGCACCTCAGCCTTGCCCTGGTGCGCCTCCTCCTTCGTGTCCAGCAGGCTTTGCGCCACTTTCTCCTCGGTGGTGAGGATCTCTGCGGGGCCAGAGATTGGGTTCTGTTGTCCTTTACCAGGGGAGCTGTGGAGGGGTTCCACCAGCTCCCCCATCTCCTCCAACACCCCACCTCTCCGTGCGCAGTTTCCGACCTGCTCGCCCCATGTCCACACACCTGGACTTCATAACGGTACTTCCACGTCCCCAGCCAATATCAGTACCCTCAGGAAGAAGACAAGCGGTCCCTCAATCTGCACACCTCCACTGAAGTTACACCACCCCTCTATCTGTTCCCCACTCGAGAAAGCTGCGGCTGGCTCCCACGTACAGTTAGCCATCGAAGTTGGCAGCTGTGCACCCCTGCCCACCTAACTCCAGGCCCCCCATGCCTTCCTCAGGCCAGTCCTTAGGGGCTACCCTGTGCCCCACACACCAGACAGCTGCCGCCTGCAGTGCTCACAGGCCCAGTTGGTCTCTCGGCTTCCTCCAGTCACTCCCCTGCTACACACACACACACACACACACACACACACACCACCCCACCCCCCTGTCGCTCCCCACCACTATCCCCAGCTCAGTCCAGGTCCCCTTGGGTGGCACCTGGGTCACCCTTGCCCCACCGAACACTTCTCTCTGCGGTGGCCACAAAGCCTGCTCAGGCCTGTTTTCTGAGTCCTGGGTCTCCCTCTCTGTCCTTCAGGGCACACTCTGCCCTCTCGGGGGCACGAACCCTGGTCCCACTGAGACCACATCTCTGTCACTGGAGCTTCCTGCATCTTCCAGAATGAACTAAATGCCTGGGAGTTGACAGGCATCCCCGGAAAGACTGCCCTGCTCTTCCGGGGGGCGGCGGGGGCTCGGAGTGTTCTCCCCAGGGCCTGCCGGCACATTTTAAAAACACATACATCTTGTCCAATCTGATTTTTATCAAACTAGCAAATGCATATGGCTCTAAAACGGAAAACTCGTTACACATTACCCGCCCCCAGAAGAAGCCCCTTTGGCCCCGGGCTGTTTGTTCTGGACAGCTTGGGAGAAGTTGCTTAAGCTGCTCCCCTGATGCAGTGATGTGCCCGCGGTCGCCAGTGCCTGCTGACTTCCTGTTTTGTTGGCTGAGGGTCTGGCTCTGTGAGCACAGCCTCCTCCCCACACCCCCACACCCCCGACAGCCAATCTGGCCGCCTCTTTGAACCCCCTCCCGCCCTTTGGAGGTTCATTCCACACACCTGCCACGTGGCGGACCCCGACCCCGAGCTCCCACCCCTCTCCCAGGGGAAGAACTGAGGCTCAGAGAGGGTCCCAGACTCTCCCACCGACACATAGCTTCGAGGCTGCTCACTGAACCAGGATGCACTAAGACTTCCCATCCTGGCCCTCCTTAGACAGTCTCCCCTGCCCGACACCCCCACGCCCCGCCATGCAATTCAACTCCCCAAAGCTTCAGCAGCTGGGGTCGAGGAGGAGGAGGAGGTGCGGGGGGAGGCGGGAGGCCCCTAGCCGGGACACTGGGCTTAGAATTACATCTCCATGCTTCGTGGGAACTCACAGGCCTGCCAGGCTCAGCGCCAACTGACTTCCTCGGCGACAACTTTCTCCTGGGCTCCCGTCCATTAACCCTAATGCACACTACCGCTCTCAATGGTTGCGATGAAGACACCCTGAGAATGCAGGGGTTACTGGCAGGGTGTGTGTGTGTGGGGGGCCCTCTGCACAATGTCTGTAAATCTAGCCACACCAAACCAGACTCCATTCTGACTTGCAGCGACCCCACAGGACAGGGTAGAGCTACCCCTGGGGGGTTCTGAGACTGTGACCCTTTATGGGAGTAGAAAGCCCGTCTTTCTCTGGAAGAGCTGGCGGGTGGTTTTGAACTGCTGACCTTGTGGTCAGCAGCCCAATGTGTACTTATTTATGCCAATGCGGCTCTAAACAGGATCCCTGGTGACGCTGTGGGTTAGGCATCAGGTCCCTAACCACAAGGCCGACAGTTAAAACCCACCAGTTGCTTTTCGAGAGAAAGACGAGGCTGTCGGCGCCTGGACCCGCCTGGACCGTCTTCTTGGGGAAACCCTGCATAGGATCAAGCTGAGGCCGAGTCCACCAGACGGCTGGTTTGGGTGGATTATGAAAACAAAACATTTTCTAAGAGGCATTCAGAACCCCCTGGCTGTGTTGCTAGGAGTCCCTGGGTGGCACAGGTACATATCTGTTTACTAACTGAAAGGCTGGCGGTTCTAACCCACCCTGAGCAGCCTCCGAGCGCGCAGCCAGTGAAAACACCATGGGGTGCCGAGCTCCCCTACACACACGGGGTCGCCGAGCGTCAGAAGGAACCGGAGGCGACAACAGGTACAGACTGGTTGGTTTGGGCACAAATAACGGACGGCACAACAAAAGCCCCAACTGGCCAGGCCATCGTGCCCGGCAAGCATCGTCCCCACGGATCCCCCATGATGCTGGGCCACTTCACAGAGAGGGAGACGAGGCTCAATGGGGGCCCTCTCCTGACCGCAGCCCCCAGAGTGCTCCTTAGAGGCCAGGTTGGGGAGACCAGTCCCTGGAGAAAGACAGCATGCTTGGTAAAGTGGAGGGGCA